AAAGACTCTTAGCTAGAGTTGCCTCTCCTCCCCACAGGTCAGCGGTAGTAAAGCTTTTGTTATCCAGAGACCACCCACCCTGCCTTACTTACCTTTTTTCAGTCTCCCCCATAGACTTAGTAATATGAGGACAGGAGCCATGTCACGTTAACTTCTGCATCCTCAGTGCCTAATCCAAGGGAGAAGGTAGATTGGTAAATGTTTTTGGAAATGTTTTTAAAAACCTATTATCAAATTTGATTCTCATGTTTAAATATTTAGTATTCCTCAAATCTTTGCTTGTCATACCCATTTTACAGATTGGAGAATTTAGTAAGTGGCAGAGCTAGGATTCAGGAGTGTATGACTCTTTTACCTTAAATCACTGTTTCTCACTATGGGAGCTAGTGTATTTTTTTGCAGTTTCAGAGTGGCTAGGGCTATGGGAAGGACTTCAGAGACTACTTTCACCTCTGCTGACTCCTTGGCACTGCTGAGTCCGGGGAATCATGCGGGGTGTATGTCAGGTGCACACCTGCCATGACATCCCAGCATAGACTTTGCAACATCAAAAAGCAAGGTGGGAGCAGAAGGGTGACAGAGTGATGCTGTCATTCTCCCTGTGGTCACAGGGTGAAGGGACAGGAATGACTGGCTTGGAGGGAAAGCAGGAGCGTGAGCCCATCTCACCCTGTGTTGGAGGCAGACTGGTAGATATCTTTGTTGGGAAGGGAACAGTTCAATGACTGAAGACCAGCTGTAAACTCGGGGCCTCAAAAGACCACCATGGTGGCCAGCTGGTGAGCCAGCCTTGAACGAGTCACTTTAGCTTCTGCGGGTTTGCCTCTTCTTCCTCAGTGAGAGTGGGTAAGAATGTGAGGGCATGTGTCATACCTCTCCCACAGCTCCTTTCCACATTCAGCTGCTTTTTTTGGGGGGGGGGATAGAGAAGAGTATGAGCTCTGAAGATCTGGGGGTTTCAGCAAGGTCTCCTGGGACAGGGCTTCTAAAACTGAGCGGTGTGGGGAAAAGCACTTACTGCCAAGAGCACAAAACGGGCCTAGCTGACCTAGACTGGGTCCTCCTCCACTGCTGACTGCCCATGGCACTCTACTGAACTTCAACTTCCCCATCTATAAAATGGGGAGAGTGAACGTCCACCTCACAAGGTTATTCTGAAATAAATAAGTGAAGTGCTTTATAGATAATTATGCACAACTCAGTTCCGAGGAGTGTTCCATGAAACACCAGTACTGCAGGATTTTAACCAGGGTTGAGTGGAAAGAGGCTGTCAAACATGAAACTGCTGAGTAATGCCAACTTAAATAGATGGTTCTTACTCAGAACCATGCTTTTCACAGTGGAACAGTGTATGCAGAATTCCCCAAGCCTCCCTTCACAGAGAGGATACACTTTTGGAAGCATAAGACTAGACAGTAAGGCTAATAGCTGACGTTGACTAAGAGGTACTGTTAGGCCCTGTTCCAAGCCCCTCAACTCACAGTGTCTCATTTAATCCTTACCATATCCCACGAGAGGGCACTATTATCATCTCCACTGACAGATAAAAAAAACTTGGCACAGAGAGGTTAGGTAAGTTACCCAAGATTATACAGTCAGTAAATTCAGAACTGGGAGCTAAACACACATGGTCTAACTCCAGAGCTCACTTTACTTAACAGCCGCACTGTACGACCTCTGCTAAATACTATTCGCTGGCATCATCATTATTATTGTTGTTGTTATTACTATTATTATAAAAAAAAGTAATATTGGGACCTTATTTATGTATTATGTGTTCATTTGCTGGTTCAACAAGTAGTTGCCAAGCACATATTTGTGGCCAGGCACGGTACTGGGCACTGGGGATCAGCTGTGGGGAAGACAGTCACAGTCACACTTTCTGTCCGCGTTGCACTTTTGGTCTAGTGGGGAACATAGTCAAGTAAACAGGTGATTGCATTGGAATGTAATAAGTACCATAGTTGGGAGATGCCCAAAATGCTAGGGGAGCTCTATGGAGGAATAACTACTTAGCAAGAATCACTGGAGGAAGTGACTTTTGATCAGAGGCCTAAAAGTGAATTGGAGTTAACCAACTAAAGGCATGAGAGAGCAGAAAATGTTCCAGGCATTGGAATAGTATTACAAAAGCTCAGAGGCAAGAAAGAACATTAGGAACGGGATGATGAGAAATGAGATCCCAGAGGGGAACAGGGGCCTTCTTCATGTAGGTTCCTTATTAGCTGGGCTGTGGCACTGCTACTCCACTGATGTTTGTCCCTGAACCAAATAGCCTAGCTGTGTCCCTTGAGTTGATCTGCTTTTTATGGTAACACTATAGCTCTGTCTTGTGCTCATGATACAGTGTTATAATAATTCATCTGTTCAGTGGTCTCATTCTTGAATTAAGACTGTTAACTTCTTAGAGTCAAGAACTGTGTCTTAATTCATTAGAGTATCTCCAGAAGCTATCACTGTGCATTGGTGTTCATTAAATGCTGTTTGTTGAATAAATATTTTCTTTGTAAAATAGGTTATACCTTTCCTGCTTTCTTGAGTCAGCTATCAATTTTCCTCAGGTTCATCATTATATCCAGCAGTTAATGTCCTTTGTGGCAATTCAGTGGTGCCCGAGGGATTCTTGTGGTGCTGAATTCTGTGAGTTCTTCTTTCGGCTTTTTATTGTGCTTTTCTTTTCCCTCCCTGCCTGGGCAGCAGCTGATTGTAATCAGTGTGCTTGATTCTGAAACCTCCTCCCCAGCCTTGTTGGTTGCTTCTAATCTGCAGTGAGCTGGGAACAAGATCCATTACGATGATTTGATAAGGCTCTTCGGGACTAAGAGTTAATCTCTGAGTTAGGTCCTTAAAGGGCTCTCTTGTGAGAAAAATGCAGATGCCATTGCAAATGGGCTACTCAGAGGCCCTCTTCCTGTGTTCCCTGCTCCAGGAAAGGTCTGATAACACTCTAGGGGTGGCGGTCATCAGTTTGGAGAGCCTCTGGTGCAGAAGAGTTGATGAACCGTTGATTCACTAGACCATAAAAAAGTGTGGTCTGTTTTCCAGTTACACACTCCACCTACTTCATTTTGACCAGACATTTGAACTGCTTCTACCTGAGCTAGCTTATCCAGGTGCCAGCTACAAACCTCAGGCCAGCCTCTGATAGGGAAAGTTCCACAGAGAGTGTGCTGGCACCTACACTTGAGCAGGGAAAGAAAAGGGAGTAGGAGTCAAGGCTGGGACCAGAATATCTGGGCTCTGGGCTGATTCCCTCTTGCAAAATGAGGACGGTAGCATGATATGATGGAAAAAAAGAGTGAGGACTCTGGGTTCTAATCCTCACTCAACCATTTATTAGCTGTGTGACCTCTGTGCTTCAGTTTTCCATCTATAAAATGTGAATTATAATACCTACTATATAAGGTAGTTAAAGGAATTAAATAGTTTAATTGTGTGAAGTGACCATGCCAGCCAGAGTAGCGGGAGGTCAGTAAATTAAATCTGTTAGGATTAGGAAGAGGCATGACAGTCTTCTGGGTTTGGGGACTTTTTAAATAGGAAGTTTGTTCTGCAGGAGGGGAAAATGCATAGACTGCATTCCAAGATCACTTGGAACAGAATGGTTTAAGAGTTGTCTGGTGCTCTTGACTATATAGGCAAGGTTACCTCTTGACTGAATTACACCCCTTTATCCAGTGGGAGGTAGGAGAAGCCTGCCCTCTGCAGGCCCTGTGCCATGGACTAGGGGAGAAGCAGGTACAGGTAGGTAGGACCCAAATTCCTCCCCCAACAAACTAAGCTCAGGAGGAAATGTAAAACAAGTACTCCAATAATTTTTACACGAGGCAAAAGGAAACTCCATCACCTGAGCAGAATAGATAATGTTCTACAAGGTCTCGGTTCCCAAGGCCCCAGAGGTAGGGTAGCCTTACCCCCTCGTTATTGTCCAAACCAGGACTGTCCAGGACAGTAGGCATAAACCAGGACTGTTCCAGGTGAGCAGGGACATGTGTGGTCACCCAATCCACAGGGTCCTGTAAAGTGATAGAACTGGTTTTAGGTTCCTTTGTATCAGTTTGAAGAAAGAGAGTCACTAGTATTAGCACTAGAGTGAACCTGAGGGGTTTTGATTCTTTGACCACAGGAAATACTTGTTCTTCTCACCTTCAAAAAAATGTTCACAGTATGTTTATTAAGGGGGAGGAAGCAGATTACAAAATTGCAATATAGTAAATTCCAGTTTTGTAGGATATATATGCATATATATATAGAGAGAGATGTGTATTTAGTAGGATATACATGCAGGTATATCTCTTATCTATCCAGCCTATATATAGACATAAGAAGACATACACTAAAATATTAATTGCAGTTTCTCAAGTTGCTAAGATACTGATGCTTTTTCTTCTTTGTACTTCTCTGTAGTTTCAAAATTTTAACTGCTTTTATAAATTTAAAAAGTTCTTTACAAAATATTAAACACTCACTAGATTGTAAACATCTTCAGAGTAGAGAAGTGTGTTACAGTTCTGCTAAGAACAGCCTCTGTCTCCCCCTTACTTGTCCTCTGTCTTACCCTAGCCTTCTTTCTTCACCTGGATAACTTCTTTTCACCCTTCAAGACTTCTGGGATCCTCTCTTCATGCCCACGTGAAGCTGAGCTCCCCTCTGGCTTTCTGTGTCATCCTGTTATACCTGTAACAGCATTTATCTTAAACAATACTGTAAACATCTATTTATTGTCTGCTTCCCTTGTCAGATTAGGTCAGGGACCATTTCTGATTCATTTCTGTGTCCCCAAATGAATTCTGCCACATAATAAATGTCAGTAAACATTTGTGGAACTAACTGGCCTCTTTCCCAGCACAGATGGCCAGACACATAGTAGGTGCCATTATATGTTTATTAAGTAGGTAGATGAGTGAATGAGGGAATTAAAATGCCAAGAGAAGGAAGGTGAGATTGGTGGCTCATGGCATTTGTTGCTAATGGAAGTGTTTGTGTTGCTGTCCCCCTAGTCCTGGTCACCAGGGAGGATGACTTCAACAACCGGCTGAACAACCGAGCCAGCTTCAAGGGCTGCACAGCCCTGCACTATGCTGTCCTTGCCGACGACTACCGCACCGTCAAGGAGCTGCTTGATGGAGGTGAGAGCATGGGTGAATGGGGCAGTTAGAGGGTGGCAAGGAGAGGGTGTGGACTTTGGCAACCCCTCTCCTCTGGAAATGCCATGCTCCCCCAGAGCCTTGTTACCTGCCCAGAGCTGGAAATGCCTCGAGGGTGCCTGCACTTCATGAAAGTAGCCTGTGTGATTTGCTCTTCTGTGGCTGGAGTGTGTTCTTTACCTACAGCTGTTTGATGTACCACACGATCCTGCCTGTCTGCACATGCTCTGAAAGTTTTCTTGATTGGTACTCTCCCTGAAAGTGTCCTCTGTCCTCTCCTGTGACCACCAGAGCAGGCTGGTGGCACAAGGAGGAGACCCTTCAAATCCATACTAACCTGGGTCTCAAAGACGTCCTCCTTGTTCCCACCCAGTCTAAATTAGGTCCCTTCCGTTAACTCTGGGTCATGACACCCTTTTCTGTCATCACACTTGTCACAATCTGGAATTGTTTTTGAGTATTCAGTAGCCTTCTCCCTAACTTGACTCTCAGCTCCCTGAAGGCAAGAACCATGGCTGGTATATCCCCCGCATCTAGCGTAGTACCTGGCACACAGTAAGCACTCAATAAATCTTTGTTGAATGATTGAATACCCTTCCTTTGGAGAGTATTGACTTAATTGGAGGGATAATACGTGTCATCCCCAGACTCAAGCTGCTCTGGTCCTGTCCAGATCTGATACAGAGTTACCTGCCACCCTGCCAGATACCTCCCAAACAGTCCTGTTTCCTCATCCCGCTCCAGCCTCTCCTTGGGATAGGGAGGGAAGCATCTTGCCAGGATGTGTAGTGCCCAGGCCTGAGTGAGTAAGGCACTGACTGCCTGCTTACGCCCTCGCTGCCACTTCTCAAAGGCCTAAAGACCCTCTCTCTTCGGCCTGGACACCAAGGTCCTCCTTGTCAGTGGTCATTTTTCATAGCACCTGGGGGCTAGAAGAGCCCTCAGAAGTCCTCTAGGTTGCCCTGATTGCCTGCCCTCTCTCCCTCTAGAAACCTCTTCAACAGCTGGCTGGCTGGCATTTCCTTGGATTCTGTCAGGGACGAAGGAAGCCCTACTTCTTGCCTAGGAGCCCATTCCAATTTAGTTTTTCTGTGGAAGAGTTCTGGTTGAAATAGCTTCTCTTAAATGAGGTATAATTTTCTTCTCTGTAACGTCTGCCAACTGTCCTCTGTGGCCAATCACTTTTTCAAAATCCAGTCTTCAAAGAAAATTTTCAGTCCCAGAGTCTTTGCCTCCCCAGCCCAACACCCCCATTTCATCTTCTAGTCTTTGTCATGTGATTGAGCTGGAGGGATTGCCTGGTAACACCCAAATCCTGCCACCCTCTCTCAGCCACAGCCACACTGGCTTAAGACCTAGGCCTGGCCCATACCCCAGCCTACAAGGGGCCCTCCCCAGAACAGTCAGAGTGTGTCTTGGTCTGGGGCATGCACAATGTGAGGGGCAGGACTGCTCATAGATGTGGTGACAGTGCCTGAGATGACTGATGCTTTCAGAGCAAGAACTCACTGCTCTCAGAAGCAGAGACTTAGAAAACGTCCTCAAGCAAGATGCTACTCACCCTGTCCTTTGGGAAGCTCTCCGATGAGACATTTGTAGCTAAGAATTGGAATGTTCACCATGGGGCCTCTCTTTGCTGGACCTTATAATCAATCAATACCCCCAGCCATTGTCCAGTGGTTTACATTCCCCACTTCCCTTTGCCCCCAGACAGATAGGGAACTCACTCTAAAAAGAGTCCCTCTCCCCAGCCTTCCAGATCGAACACCTTTGAAATGAAGAGGCACAGGCCTTTTATGAAGCACCCCCAACTCTTACCCCTCAGGCCAAGACTGTCCCTTTGAGCCGTTCCAGGGGCATGACTCCTGCTTGTTTACTTGGAACAGATGCCCTTAGCCCCCACCTTTACAGTTCGCCCACCTGCCTTTTTACAGAATACATTTACACCCCTGCCCTAGCCTCCCAGCCTCAAGGGCCAAAACCATTAACCCACTTATTTCTCCCTCCCTGACCTGAACAAGTGGCCGTCACTCAGGGCAGGCAGGCCTGCCATCTTCTGACCTCCCTGCCCCCTTGACCTCTGTTGGCCTGCCTGTGTATGTGACCAGCCAACCGAGAGGGAGGATCCTGCTCCCTTGTCCTAGGGGCTCTTGCTAGTAACATTTCCAAAGTTTTCTGACCTCAGCTGACACCCTCCAGAGGATTTCAGGGAAGGCAGACCCTCCTGCCTTTCTTAGCCATCCAGCTTTCTTAGCCTATATTTGCCACCGGCTTTGCTGCAGTACCTTAGAGGCTTTCTCTGTGAGATCCAAGGCAGGCCTAGACACAGGGCCAGCCTGTGCTCATAAGGTCCACACAGAACCCTTGTCCTTGAAATTGTTTAGTCCATGGGGATATAGGGTCCCCAGATCTTAGAAGGTTAGAGCTAGAGAGGGCAGCTGGTCTTGCCCTCTGACCAGCAGTCCCCATGCAAGAGCTGGGAGGAGGTCCAGGCAGCAGCATCAGTCTGACAATGTGGGAAGTTCTCTGACCCTTAGGAGGCAGCATGGAGTAATAGAAAGGACACCTCAGGCTTCAGAGTCAGGCCAACCTGGGTTTGAATCTCAGCTCTCCCACCTACTAGCTCTGTTGGCTTGGACATGTCCCCTTAACTCTCTAAGCCTTAGTTTTTTTGTCTGTAAAGTAACACCTGGGAAGTTTCACAGGCATTAGAGAGCATAAGGATTAGTGATAATGTGTGTAAAAGCCTCTCGTACAGGTAGTATTCCATGATTGTATGAAGAAGTCAAACTCACCCTGGCAGCTGAAATACCATTCCTCCCCCTCCCCTACCTAACACCTTCTTCTGTTTCTGCCCACTCTGCCTAAAACACCATTGTGTTCCCTGTCTTCTCATCTAGATCCTTGGACACTTCAAGGCTTCTGTCTGTCAGGAAGCCTCTCCTGGAGGTCTGATTCACTCTGATAGCACCACCACTGAACTCTTCAGAGGTTTGGGTTGGGTACTTAGCACAGAAAGGCCACTTCTTCATCTTTGGGAGGACCTGTAACATGGTGAAAAGAACGCAAGCTTGGGGGTTAGACAGACCTGGGTTTAAATCTCAACTCTGTAGTGTGACTCTAGGTAAGCCAGTTGCCATCTTTAACACCATGGGCCTCAGGGCGTCCTAAGATGAATCTGGTAAATTGTCTTGACCCTGAGAGACTCCCAGACTGGTGGAGGACACAGATATGGAAACAGGCAGTGATAGCAGGCAGGGGCTCCAGCAAGGTCCTGGACAAGGGGCTCTGGGGACATAGAGGAGGAAATACCTGCTTCTGCCTGGTGAGCAGGGTGGTGGAGTCCATTACAGAAGGCTTCCCAGAGGACAGCGTGCTTCAGCCTTATCAGGGAGGGTAATGGAAATTTGCCAGACGGATTTCTGTGGAAGGGTTCTGGGTTTACCGGTGCCGATTTTCTACCTCCAACCTTCACAGAAAAGTGGGTCTGGCTTCTGTGGTTTTCATCTCTGAAGATGCTGCTTCTGCCTGTGTTGCTGGCTTACGAGCAGGAAGGCTCTGCTTTAGCAACTGACTGCCAAGTACAAGAAAGGGTTGGAGGAAGGAAGGAGAGGCAGGACAAGTGGGAAGACAAGTAATCAGAGAAGGTGGGGTTCCTCCTCCTTCAAGCCTCTGGAGCTGGCTTATCCCAGTATTTCCAAGGCTGTTAAGGTGCTTTTGCAGCTTTTTCCTCCCAGAGATGTGATCCCACTGCCAGATTCATTTTCCTAAAACCTCATGGCAGCCTCTATCAACCAGGGTTCCTCTGGAAAATTAAGCCCTAATGCTCTAAGGCATCTATTGAACACAAGGAATTCATTTCTTCCCCAGGCATCCAAAGTTGTATGAGTTATGTACCATTCTTGGGAGAATTGAGAAAATCGGTATTCAAATAATTTCCCGTTTGTGATTCAAAGGAGAAACCCAGTTGAGAAAGGCCGCAAGGAAAAAGCATGAACTGTGGAGTCGGGATCTGAATATAGCCTTGCCACTTAATAGCTGTGTGTCCTGGGCAGCCTGGGACCACTGTGAGGTTCTCCTTCCTTATCTGAAAATGGGGGCATGCCACCTACCTTCTAAGGTTTTGTCAGGATTGGGCATGTGTAGGTTCTACAATATAGGAACTCTACAGTATCTGTTATCAACTCCAAAAGCACCCAGTGCTCACTTATTTAAAAAAAAAGAAAGTAGGAGGATCTACCACTACTTTAACTTTTACGTTGGTTAGTAGTTATTATTATTTCGTACCGTACCCCTACCTAACCCTTTTTTAA